TTCAGGGATGATTTGGTGCAGTTCTATCAAAAAGCAGGAGTATAAAGTAGAAAACTCTTCAGGCCTCATTCATTCTTGTAATTCTTTAAATTAAAAAAAGGGTTTTTTCATTTGATGTTTGTTCTGGAGTCACTGTATTGTATAACCACCCCCTCTCTCTTGGTACACATCAGACTTCAAATGTGTTATAATAAGTAAATCAGTATTATGGCTGCTTTCATTATCAATAATGCTACAATGTATTAAAAGCTGATTTGAAACTGTTTTAAGGTAAACATTTTTCAAGCTTACCCTAAGTAAGGTGACAAAATGATATGATTTAATCAGCTATATGCTGGATATATTTTGTTAATTTGTTACCTAGGAAGAAGTTTATCTTTCAAGCAAAATATAATGTATACTGATGCCTGAAACTCCTTTGGAAATACATCAAGAAAGACAACAGTTGATTTCTGGGGAGATTAATAAGGCAAACACAGCAGACTGTTAATAACTATAGAGGCTAGGAGGTGGCTATATGGACACTTACTATAAGTGTTTCATTTTCCTACACTTGAAAGTTTTTCTAAAAATCTTATTTGAAATTTGTTATAAAGAGAGAAACACCCAAATTCCACAGAAGAGTTCTGCAAAAAAGACTAAGCAAAACTTGCTGCTTATATTTGTTGAGCTGAGCAGGGAAAAGATTGCCATAACTCCTTTATTTTATCTATCTACCTCTAGCAAAGTCCCCAAAATTTATACTCCTAGTGAGGAACGAAGGCAGAAAAATAGGTTTGTTAAGAATTCTATAGCATAAGTAAGTTCTTTGAGTTGAATTTTAAAGACCAAAAACTGAAACTTCTTCTACATCTAAAAATAGTGTTTCAATTCCTTGCCTCCACAAAACATTTTCCAGGATAGTTTCCTGAAAGGAAATAAAGCACACCTTTCTCTGGATTACTTATTCTTTTTGGCAATATCTTTTCACTGTGACTCTACTTCAAATCATTCATAGAAAATCTGAAAATAACACAAACAAAATTTTGGCATATTGGAAATTTTATCTATTCAATGGTGTGCATATCAACACAATTGCTTCCTAAAAAGTGGCATGAGTTTATGTTCCATACTCCATCAATGACTTTTTGGTAATCATTTAGAACGCATCATCTCCTGCATTTCATAAGGCAGAAAATACATCATAACTCAAAAAAAATTGCTCAGCTACTAGTGTATATATAATGATCTATAAACAAGTTTTTTTGTTGTTGTTTTGTTTTTGTACTGGGGATCGAACTTGGGACCTTGAGCTTGCAACGCAGGCAGCGGGACCACTGAGCTAAATCCCCAGCCCAAACAAGCATTTATTGAATATGTACTATGTGCCAGGCATGATGCTGTCTTAGGAAAGAGAATATGAAGAAAACACAGTCCCTGACTCCATGAAGTCAATGGCATAAGAAGAAATACAAAAGGATATTACAAAAAGAGGTAAATCAACTGATTTACAGACAGATTATTAGTGCAATAAAGAGAAGACACCTAACAGTTTAGTGGCTGGAGATCTTTGGGAAGACTTTCTAGGCTTAAGGATGGTTACCTTGGTGAGTGAGAATAGGAGATGGTATTCAATGCCCAAATGGCAGCACAGAGATGCAAAGCAGCACACTGTGGGCACAGCATTACAGGCAATCAGTACTGCTGGAGAAAAAGCTCATTAGATGGAGAGAGATGAGACTGGAAAGGTAGGGGGTGATCATATCACGGATGATCTTGTGAGATATGTTAAGGAGCCTGGACTTTCTCCTGGCCTCAAAAAGATTTTAGAAAGGGAGTGACATTTTCAGACTGTATCTTTATTAGAACTCCTTGGCCACTGAGAAAAGAATGAAAGTAAAAGAAACATGTTAGTCAGCTAAAGCAGAGACAAAATGAGGATCTGAACCAAGGCAGTGATAATAGGCATGATTTTTATTGAGAAAGAATAGCAGACATGACAGACTGCATATAGGGGTGACTCGCAAGGGTCTGGATTGGATAAATTTATGGCCGACACCCCCTCCTCTTGTAACAAGTAGATAATACAGAGAGAAACGCTAATATGGGAAGGAAGATGATAGCTTCAGCTTTGGATGTGAATTTGATATACCTCTGGGTGAAGATTTCCTGAAAAAAGTTAGTATAAAAGGGAAGAGGCCTGCCTGTATGGCAGGTTGAAACTTGAGATAGCCAAATATTAGAGATACCTGGATTTATGAGACTGGATAGCCAATTTTTCTGGGCTTTTGCTTTTATAGTAAGCATACAGTGGTATCTTGCCCTGGTTTAAATTTTTAATTCTTTAATGTTTAATGATGTTAAGCATCTTTTTAAATTCTTTTTTGTGTAAAGTTTAACCCCCTCCACCACACACACACACACACACACACAAACACACACAGTGTATTGAACCGAGTGCTCTACCACCAAGTTATATCACCAGCCCTTCTTATTTCTTGAGATAAGGTCTTGCTAAGTTGTTCAGGCTGGCCTTCAACTTGAGATTCTCCTGTTTCAGCCACCCTAGTAGCTGGGATTACAAGTGTGCCCTTGCCTGCCCTGCCCTGCCTCCCCAGTATGGTGTGAGGAATAAATTAGTGTAGTGATTGCATATAGAATTTGCATCTAAAAGTGTACAGAATAACAAATGCAAAAGATAGACAAAACTTTTGAAAGAAAAGAGCCAGGACTTAAGGAAGGAGAGTTGTGCTAAAACACACAGACACATAGCATTGTGGGAAATGAACCAGAAAAATTCTGATCAACACTGCCTACCAAGATACTGTAAGCCATGAGAACTTTCTTTTTTCACTAGTGCATTTTCAGCCAAAACCCTTCTGATACCGGAATTACATCCAACCAACCACTTTACAGGAATTCCCCATTTGAGGGAGGTCTGAAATCCCTGAGCACTCTCAAAGGTCATTTCTCTAGGCATAGGAGGGCCTGGAATTCCCTACATTGATGACAGTGGATCTATCCTTGGGGGCATTCCGGCATAAGGTCACAGGGACAAACCCGAAGTCACTGCCTCTCTGGGAAATCAGAACCGCACTCTCCGTCCTGTCGGCCAATCTGACTATGTATCCACTCGAGAGGTGGCTGGTTAAAGAGCTGAAGAGGGCGGAGATGAAAATCTGCACGTGGGCAAACCCGGGGCAAATTAGAAAGGCGCCTCCTAGCCACCACCCCCTCAGAGGGTCGGGTGGCGGCGAACGCAGCCCCCTGCGCGCTAGCTCCTCCGGGTCGAAGAGCTCCCGAACTTACCCGGAACCATGAAGCGGGCGTTAAAGCCTGGGTCAGGGCGAAGTGAGAATGCCGGGTCTTTCCCCAGAGACCGTGCTGGGGGCAATCCACGGACTCCCCCCGCCCACACCCTACGCCTTCCTTCCCGAACACGCCGGGAGTCATTCATTGTCAAGCAAGCGGGGCTCTAGGTTACCGCGTCCGGAAGGCCGCTCCCTCCTGCCTTCCGCTTCGTCGTAAAATGCCGTAAAGCGCAGGCGTTTTGCGGTACCACCGTAGGTGACGGCGGCGGGCTTCGTACCTCGGCCCGTGTGTGTGTCCCACGTTGAGGCAGCTTCTGTTGAAAGGCAGTGTTGGCACTTTGAGGACAGGGAACCAGCTACAGTTCTCTTGTCGGGTAATTGGTCCAGCTGCTCGTGGGGTTGTTTAAAACACTGCTCCGTTCGGTACTTGAAAAGTGTAACATAAATGTCCTCAAACCTCACGCTTGTCTTGTCGCTCTGAAGAAGCATCTAGACTTCAGGAGTCCTCGATGTAGCTGATATTTTTCTTGTTCACTTCGTCCTCCAGTCTCCTTACCCCTGGAATTCGAAATGCTTTACCTGATCGGCTTGGGTCTGGGAGATGCCAAGGACATCACAGTCAAGGGCCTGGAAGTTGTAAGACGCTGCAGTCGAGTGTATCTGGAAGCCTATACCTCAGTCCTGACTGTGGGGAAGGAAGCCCTGGTAGGTGATTAAGGTTCTCTGGCCTTTTGGGAAGAAAACTGCCCCATATCTGATTTTTGTACACTAAGCTGAATAAAACTTTTCATGTCTCCTTATTAAAACCTTTTAAAAGTATCTCCTGTTCATAAAGGATCTGAGAAGTACGAGAATGGAAATCATACACCGACCAAATGACTTGGAAAATGAAAGAATGATTTGTCCTATTTTACAAGTCTAATTTTATGGCTTTCTTCAGTAAAACAAAAAAGGAACATTATTTTACACTCCTGGAGGGGGGATAGTTATCAAAATCCCTTATTTCATGAGATAGCCAAGAAATCCTTTTTGAGTTGAGTGCTAATGAATTGCTGACCCAGTCTTAATGAGTTGGTTATGTATTCAGAAACCAAGCTGAAAGCTTTCCCCTTTGAAATATTTCCAGAGGGAATGCTGATTGCCTCTCTGTAACATATCCAGAGAGATCTTTCCTTTTAGCAGCATCTCCCACTAAGGCCTATTGAGTGACCCTGGGACTAAGTAACCAAAGGATTTGCTAGGGTATTATACATTTAGCACGTCCTCATTAAGAGCTCAGTAAATTTTAGAGGAAGGATTTCAGGTTCGTTCTTAAACTCCAAGGAGAATATAGATTAAGATCAAAATATTGATGGACATGTTGTGGGACAAGGGAGTAGATTTTTAGAATTGTCTCTGTCACTTCTGTCTTCCAAACACAAGACAGACTTACAGGTCCTCAGGTCTCAGTCCTCTCAGATTCACAGTTCAGAGAATTCTGAAGGTTTCAGAATTACTTTAAAATCTTGAAGAAGTTAAGGACTGCTACTTGAAATAGCCATTCGTTGAAATAAAATTTGTGTCTAATGACTGACTTTGATTTGTTTACCTCAGTTTTTATACTCCAGATGGAACCAAAATTGTGTAACATCAAGATAATGGAAATAGGTCTCTCAGATAGGTGATCAAGGCAAAGTAGAATAAATTTAAAATTGTCTAAGAGAACAGAAAAAATAAATTAGGAATTTTATAAATAAGGTGTCAGAGCATGACAGAGCAAAGTTTGGACCTGGTTTCTCTTTGTTCTGTTACATGTTCTTAGACAAGTCCTTTAACTCCTTACTGTGTAATATAGGTTCCAAAAAATCTCTCTTATAGGTTCTTCTCATTGTGACTTGCAGAAAAGTGTTCAGAAAAGATAGTTACCAGTGGACACATTTCTAAACTTCTGAATATTAGTTTCATTTGTCTAATGGAGATAATCAATTGGATAGTTTTATATGTTTTTATTAAGAAGTTATATATGATTGTGTTTTGTAAAATTTATGTTTTCTAAATATTAATTTTGTTGCCATCAGTTTCGAAATTTTTTTTTTTTTTTTTTAATACAAGTAGAGTTGTTACTTACAGAGTTGAGATCTGGGGCTGGGCCCAGCCTCACTTGTGGGTAATTATGTATACTTTGTTAAAATGTAAGAATTACTTCTTCCACAATAATAACAATTATAGAACAATTATGGAAATAAAATTTTAGAATTTATTTGTACTGCTTTAAATGCTTTATGTGTAGAATACGATTATTACTCTATAAGTACCATGTACATTTGACAGACAAAGAGTTAAGAAACTTGCACAAGATCATACAAGTAGTGAGTAGTAGAGTATATGAACCAAAGCAGTCCTGAGTTGAGATCTAACACTCTTGATTTCCATAGTGTACTGGGTCTCTGCATTCTTAGGGATAGATAATAGCTACACAAAGTATAACTTCAGAAAACATCTACAGAGAAGATAGCATTCAAGCAAAATGATCTGTCCTAGATCTTGCCCTATCACAAAATTTTTTGGTATGCTGTCCATGTTCTCCAGGACCTCAGTTTATGTTTTTCCCTGAGCAACTTTTTATATACAAAACATATCTATCTTGAGTGAATTAATTCTGGTTTAAAGTAGGGTATGAATAAATGTATACCTTCTGTTACCTGGTGAAATCTCAAAGCCACTTTTTCTTCAGCCACTTTCTTCCCTTCATTTCTATATTTCTTCTTTAAAACAAACTGAGTTTTAAAAATTTGTATGTGCCTACATTACTATATGTACAGTCTAATCTTAACTACAAATAACTATTACACAGTGAGAAAAAGCTGGAAATTTTATTTTCTACAGTCAACATGTGCCTTATTTTATCAGTATACATAGTATCTTATAATAGGCAGGCATAGGTGTTGCTACAGAAATCTGAAATTTATCTGCTCTTCCATTGAAAGCTGTTTTCAAATTGCCAAACAGGTAATAATATTTATATGTCTTCTATTCAAAAGTTAATTAATCTAAAGACAGTAAATCTAGGAAAGAGTTTTATTTATTTATTTATTTTTTAGGAAAGAGTTTTAGTTTTAGTATACTCAACTTGAATTTTTTAGGCACTTTCTGTGGATAAATTATAATCTTATATATCTATTTAATATAATGCATCTATGTGCGTTACAAAAAGAAACATAAACTATGGTCTTTGTTCACAAGTGATTCATAATTCATCTGCATTATATCCAGGAAAACCTAAGTAGTAATGGAAGATTTAAGTAACAATACAGAACAATGGAAGGAGAGATTATAAAATTATATGTCTGGAAAAAACTGAGATGAATTTATTCAAACCAACAATCCAGCTATCAAGTAAGCAGTACAAACTATCCCAAATGTGAAATAATTATTAGTTATTAATTACTTTTAGAATACATGTGAGAGAGATCACTTCAGGCTGTGGTGGTGAGGAAATACTATGGATTAGAAGTTATTTGAGCTGTATTTTAAAAGTTGCATATCCCAGTGTTTTTGATTCATTTCTTTTATTTGCATTATAATCTTAAGTAGCAAATGATAATATTTGTTTATTCCTGCAGAGTAGATGGAAAAGCTACTCAGAACAAGAAAAGACTAATAGAGCACTAGCTACTTTGCAAAAAGCAGAGATCACTAGTCTTCACCCATTTTGTAGCATATGTGAAGTTCTGCAACCAAGATTCTTTGACCTTGATCAATTGCTAAACATTTCCATGCTCTGTTTCTTGTCTATGAAATGGGTACTAAAATAGTGCCTCAGATTGAGGTGAAGATTGTTCATAGAGTAATCCCAACATTAATATATTAGTACAAATATTGTTATTAAAGACAACATTTGGTAAGGGGAAAGGAAGAGCATTCTGCCCTGAGTGAAAAATAATTGTGACCAAACCATGGAGGAGGAAAGCACAAACATTTGCTGAACTTAACATTAGGTTTCACTGAAGTTACCTCATTTTCTCTCAGTGCATCTATACCTTCACTTCTCCTCCAAACTTGTATCACCTGGATACCAGCTCCCTTTTGTTATCTTGTTCTCCTGTTCTTCTGATATGGATTGAGAATGAGAAGACAGAGGAAAAGACAGTAAAGGACTTCACACTGAAAAAAAGGAAGCATTTAATTATGAGTTTTATTAATTTCTCATCTGTCCTTATAATGTGAATCTATCTTCTCTCTAGTCTTAGAAAATTAATTGTAAGATGAGGATCTTTTCCTGTTCAAGATGTAATTCCATCTAGGTGTGTTTTTAAAACCCTTTCCTTTGAAGCCGTACATCATTGTTCTTCTTTATATTCAGCCTGTATTAGCATCCTTCTCTCTTCCTGAAACCATATTCAATCATCGATTATTTGAAAAGTCTCTTCTTTGAAACCTCTTTTCCCCATAGTTATTATGTTATTTCCTTTTTTTTAATCCAAAGCTTCTTGAAAAAGTATGGCCTTATTGTCTCCATTTCCACTCATGACTTACTCCTGAAGGCTGATTTCCATTTCCAGAAATATTTCTCTATTTTTTGAACAAATCTTTCCTAGCCAAGAACTTTAGTTTTAAATTCTGTTTTACCTATTTTGATGTAGCTGACCGTTCCTTGAAACTGTCTTATGTAACATGAGTTTCTCTTAGTTTATTTTGGTTTTCAATTTTTTCTCAGACTCCTTTGGTAAACTTCTGTTTCTTGTTTAAATGTTACTGTTTTTAAGAATTTTTTGTTCTCACATCTACTTCTCTATACTGCTTCGAACCTCTGCTTTTACTTTTATTGACTAATCCACTAAATAGTGTGAAATATAAAAGTACAAAGATATATGCAAGAAAAAGATTTCTGTCCCAGGACCCCTTCCTGAAGGCCATCACTACTAATTTCTTGTATATCCTTCTACAGATACCTGAAAATAAATTTAATATACTCCACCCAACTGCCAATTTAAAGCAAAAATGAAATTTTACTTTTACCTTCATTTTCATTAGTGGAGAAGATTAGGGCTGAGATTATACAAAAATTGGTTCATTCATTGGATAATATGTAATCCAACTTTAAAATCAGACGTTAGATAATACTGCTTTTTTTTCTTCCCTGGCCTGTTACTTGGCAGGAGTCTTCTATGGCACCTGTGATACAGTATAGTAGTTAATTCTCCCTCCCTTGAGGACAGGGACAAAGTGTGTCTTAATACCATTGTGTCCCAGCATCAAGCATAGAGTTTGGCATGGAGGATGTGTATAAGAAATACTGTTATAATGGGTGAATGAATGACTGGATGAATAAACAAATAAATTAAAAATAATATAATTCCAATCTTACTGCATTTTCTATCTCTTTCCTTTATGAAACATTTTTCAAAAGGATCAGCCATTTGATTATAATAGAATGTTTCATATCAATGTGTGTTGTCTTACTTAGACCATGAACTGTTTCTTAGGTTAGGAAAAGTGATAAGTTAAATACGAAGTAATGTAAATATTGAAAGTGGGTTTGTTTTTGTCATATCATTTATAAAATACAGGTTAGGATTACTGCTAGCTTTAAACTGGTGGCATATAGCTTCTTGGTCTTTAAGAAATGTTAGAAGTTGGTGGGGGGTGGGAGGGGTGCACACCTGTAATCCCAGCACTCTGGAGCCAGGAGAAAGATGGCAGCAAGTTTGAGGCTAGCCTGGGCTACATAGTGAGCTCAAGGACAGCCTCAGCAAGACCCTGTCTCAAAAACAGCAAAACACCACCATCAACAACAAAAAAAAGCACCAAGAAATGTTAGAAGTTCAGTAAGGGCCATGGTTTTCTTCAGTTTCCAGTAATCATGTATGTGTTCTGTTAGATATGTAATATAAACATTCTGCAACTATAAGTCTCAAAACTACTGTGTATCTATGGATGCTTGTTCATTTACTCATTTGACAAATATTATTGAGTAACGGACACTCTTGTACAGCAGTCCCTATAACTTCTAATAACTCCAATTTCTGAGTGTAAGGCAGTATTATTTATCTGTGCGTCTACTTTTACTTCATTTGAATTACTTCATTTGAATATTACTCTGTAGAATTTTGTAATCTTGAATACTAGCCCATGACCAGTACCATATGACCACCACTTTACTAGCTAACTCTCTTCTGGGCTTGTTTTCTAGAGTTGAACTTCAGGGGATTAATTTACAGAGCAGGTTGTATGGAAACTTCCTGCATATTTAGAATTCATTTCTTTCCCCTGCAACTGTCTTTTAGCAGAAAAAAGGGAATATAATCTTAAAGGAATGTAGGAATGTAAGCTGGTTTTGTAAATAGCTAAGTCATAATTTTCTATTATTTTTCATTGATACTACCTTTTATTTTAGACAGGGTACCATAGATTTTCCTTAATTACCACACGTTCGTTGTTATTGTTTAATATGTATATTTATTCTCCATTACCATGTTTCTGAAGTAGGGCTCATGCATACATATTTTGTGTTCATTCTACAATATTCTGTCTGGGCTATTATGAGCCAAATTTAGAGGTAAATTTAAAATGTAAAAAGCCTCAGATGTTACGAGGTCTGCTTCCTCTTGGGATATTAAGAGCCCCAAAGACAGAGTTTAATTGCAACATGATATAGAGTGCTAGCTCATTGATGAGTTGTATTGAATAATCTGTGTTTGGATGGTTGCCAAGAGTTGCACCAGCTCCAGACAAAGATTGTTTTGTGTGTGTGTTGAAATGGTCACCTGCTGTCTCTCATTTTGATACTGGTCTTAAATATGTAGGAAGAGTTTTATGGCAGAAAATTGATTCTCGCTGATAGAGAAGAAGTGGAACAAGAAGCAGATAATATTTTAAAGGATGCTGATATCAATGAAGTTGCATTCCTTGTGGTTGGTGATCCATTTGGGTAAGTTAAAGAAGACATTTTGAGTTGTTTATTTATTTTTTAATCAGCAAGAATGACTATTACCTTTAAAATTTACCTGCCAGGTCCTAATAAGGGACTATGTTTACTTAAGCTCTAAAATTTTGTAGTTTAAACTTTCATTATTTTTGAGATGAATGAAGAAAATCATCATAAAAATACTACCACAAATATCATTACATTATCAAGTGTCATTTCTAAAGTTTTTATCTTTGATCTCTTTTTTTTAAAGATTATGTAGGTTATCAACTGCCTTAATTAGTGTGTGATTATTATATAAGTCATTCCATTATGATTGTCATGGCTGTGATTTGCTGCAGATAATTGCAAGCATCTTTAACTTTCTTTGTTCTAGGCTTATTTTTTTTTTTAACCATCTAATTTTGGCAATACTGCTGTCACTTCACTTGCCTAAATTTATCATTTAGCATGCCACTGATTTCAATTTCTTATATCCATTGGGAGCTGTGTTCTTCCTCATTACTAAGATGGGCTTCTACTTGTCTAGTCAAGCATCATCAATCTCTAATGTCAAGTTAAATAGAAGAGTTCTTTGTCTACAGCTGGTGACCCAAGATTTATGTCACAGATTTAAGGAATATAAGGACAATTAAATCACTGTGGGCCCACCATCAAGGACATTTCTCAAAACAGTAGAGTTTCATGTGCATGTGTCTGTCAAACAGAAAGTAATTTATGTTAATATAAAGGGCCAAAGCTTCTATATCATCATTATACTTTACTGCAAGTGGCTTTGGATAATCACTCATTTTAAAATATTTCAATAAGTTGTTTTAACCTCTGATATTATTTGATGTAAAGTTTAGGCTTCCTAAAAATTGCTAGTTCCTTTTTTTTTTTTGCTATAGTATAGTAAAATAAAACAAGGAAAGTAAAACATTCCACAAAGAATGTGTTCTAACTCTTATAAAATTTTCTCATCACACTGACTTTTTCTGTATAAAGCCCATTTTCTGCAGGGAAACCTTCCCCATCAAAACTCCTATTTTTATGGTACTGTAGTTCTTACAGTTACCTAAATAAGCAATCTCAGCATGACTTTTGACCTTTAGAGCATCCATTTATTGACAGTTTTCATGATATTAAAGTGAAAAAGCTACTCAAAGTGAAGCTACTCAAAGTGAAAAAGCTACTCAAAGTGAAGTTTGCAGGCTGCAGCCAACATACTGTTACTAGGCTAAGATGAGATAAGTACAGAAATTGAAAGCAAGCATTTCAGAACATTTATAGCCATTTAAAATGTAAATTTTAAGCCTATTGAATAATCATAAAAATATGGGACTTATATTTTATATTATTTCACTTCATGTTTTATTTTTCTCATACTTCATTTTTACTGCATTTTACAAAACTCTTATTCCATGACAATTTAGAACCTAAAAAAAAATTGAGAAATACTGCTATTGGCTTTTGTTTTGCCATGTTTTTCATATCCTTTCATTCCTACTCTGGTTGCCCCTATTCTACATAATCTAGCTTTATGTAACCTACATCTTTTGCCTGAGCTATGTATAAACTTTAAAATCTTTGCCCATACTGTGGTCCAATTCATATTTGAAAACCCCATCCGGGCTCATAAATGAGAACTTTATCAGTTCCATCCTTAGCTAGATATGAAAAACTGCCCAGCCTGCCCTGCTGCCTCTGTCTTGCCACTCTTACACTGAAGCCCACAGTCCTGCTGACCAGTTTACTCTTTTCTAATCATCATGTTTTCTCACCTTCATACCTTTATTCAAGCGCTTCCTTCCTCCCTAAAGCCCTGTGACTTACCTTATTCTCAGAGGCCTTTCATCATTCAGAACCTAGCTGCCCATGCTGTAGTTCCTTATTACTTTATATCTGGAGTTATATCTCCGTGTAATTGGTGGCATACATCATTCATACTTTTTTTCTTGTAGTATCTGACTATATTTTTAAAATAGCTTTCTATATCTACGTTTCTTTTAGATATGTAGGTTAACTTTCACATTTTTATGTCTCTAGCTTCTTTCATATTACTTGACATGTGGTTGGTAGTAGTTAAATATTAATTGAAGAATGTTGGGATGTTTGCCTAAGGTCAACAAAGAAAGACCAGGCATATGTTGAACTGACATTTATCCATTCAACAAATACTTTTTGTGTGCTTATCTCGTGACAGGAACTCCTGCATACTCAGTGGTAAGACATAGGTTTACATTTTTGTGGGAGAAGCCAATAGTAATCAAAGAAAAATAAACAAATTTAAATGTAGGTAGTCTTGTAAAGGGTAAAAAAAGGAAATAATACAACAAGGCTTATTTATGCAGAGTCATAGGGAAGAGCCTTCCTATGGAGGTGATACTTAAACAAGTTGTGGTGATGGTGATATATACAGGTATTCCTCCTATAATGACTAGTGACTGGACTTACTTGAGGCATGCTGTTTGGACTCACAGCCTGCCACTTGAACATATGACCATCTTTCAAAGAGCTGGATTAAATGGAACCTCTAGTTTTAGTTTTTTGAAGAAACCCCATACTGATTTCCATAGTGGTTGCACCAGTCTGCACTCCCACCAGCAATGGGGAAGGGTTCCTTTATCCTCACAACCTCACCAGCATTTGTTATTGGTTAATTTCTTGATGATAGCCATTTTTTCTGGAGAGAGATGGAATTTCAGTGTTGTTTTAATTTGCATTTATTGAATGATCAGTGATGTTGAACATTTTTCATATGCTGTTTTACATTTGCTGTTTTTAATTCTTCATCTGAGAAATGTCTATTCATTTCAGATGCCCATTTTTGGATTGGGTCTTTAAATTTGGAGCATCTGATTTTTTTTTTTTTGAGTTCTTTATATAGTCTAGATATTAGTCATTTGTCTGAGGAGTAGCTGGTAAAGTCTTTGCCTAGACCTATGTCTTCAAGAGTTTTACCTATTCTATCTTCCAGCAGATTCAGTGTTTCTGTTTTTATATTTAGATCTTTGATCGATTTCGATTTTAGTTTAGTGGATAGTGAGAGATATGGGTTTAAGTTCCATCTTCAGCCTGTGGAATTCAGTTTTCCCAGCACCATTTATTAAAGAGGTTGTCTTTTTTCCAGTGGAAGTGTTTGGCCCTTTTGTCAAAGATAAGATAGCTGAGTGTGTTTGGAGTTGTTCCTGCATCTTCTATTCTGTTCCATTGATCATCAAGTCTGTTCTTTTTTTCCCAGTACCATGCTGTTTTTACCACAGGTGCTGTGCAGTATAATTTCAAGTTCGCCTTGTTTTTGATGCCCAGAATTGCTTTTGCTATTGCTTTTGCTGGTTCCATGTGAATGTTAGGATTGTTTTCTCTTAATCCTGTGAGGTATGCTATTGGTATTTTGATCGGAATTGCATTAAATCTGTTTAATAGTTTTGAAAGTATGGCCATTTTCGCTATATTCTGCCTATCCAGGAATAGGGGATATCTTTGCATTTTCTGATATCCTCTTCAATCTCCTTTTTCAGAGGTCTATAGTTTTCAATGTAAAAGTCTTTTTACTTTCTTTATTAGATTGATTCCTAAGTATTTCACTTTTCTTGATGCCTTTGTGAAAGGTGTTGTTTCCCTAATTTCTCTATCACTAAATTTATTTTTCCTGTACAGGAATGATGTTTTTGAGTGATGACTTTATATCCAGCTACATTACTGAATTTGGTTATTCTAAGAGTCTTTTGGTGGAGTTTTTGGAGTCTTCTATGTAGAGTATCATGTCATTAGCAAATAATGATAATTTAGCTTCTTTTCCTATCCATATTCCTTTTATTTCTTTCTGTTGTCTAATTGCTCTGGCTAATATCTCCAGAACTCTATTGAACAGGACTGGTGATAGTGGGCATCCTTGTCTTGTTCCTGATTTTAGAGTGAAAGCTTTTAGTTTTTGACCATTTAGTATGATGTTGGCTGTTGGTTTGTCATAGATGGCTTTTATCAGATTGAGATAAAAACCATCTGTTCCAGTTTTCTGTAGGGTTTTTTCACGAATGGTGGTGGATATTGTCAAATGCTTTTTCTGCATCTGTTGAGATGATCATGTGGTTTTTGTGTTTGGTTCTGTTAATGTGGTATATTACATTTATTGATTTGTGTATGTTGAACCAGCCTTGCATCCTTGGGATGAATCCTGCTTGATCATTGTGTATAATCCTTTCCATTATTTATTGCATCTGTTTGTCAGTATCTTGTTGATGATTTTTTCCATCTATGTTCTTTAGGGAGATTCGCCTGTATTTCTCTTTTTTGATTGGATCCTTCTCTGATTTTAGTATCTTTGCTTCCAGGAATGACTTTGGGAGTCATTGCTTCCTTTTCAATTTCATTAAAGAGTTTGAGGAGTAGTGGCATTAGATCCTCTCTAAAGTTCTTGTAGAATTCAGCAGTGAATCCATCAGGACTTGGGCTTTTCTTTGTTGTTAGTTTTTTTGTTTTGTTTTTACTTCTTTAATTCATTAACTGATGTTGGGTTATTTAGAATTTTATGTCTTCTTAATTCAACTTTGGAAATTCACATGTATGTGGGAAACTGTCCATTGTTTCTGAATTTTCTATCTTATTGGAGTATAGGTTCTCAGAGTAAATACTAATAGTCTTCTGGATTCCTGGAGGATCTGTTGTGATTTCACCCTTTTCATTCCTGATTGCATGGATTTGGTTTTTCTTTCTTTTGATAAGGTTTTAGCTAAGGATTTGCCTATTTTATTTAATCCTTCAAAAAAAACCAATTCTTCGATTCATTGATTCTTTCTATTGTTTTCTTAGTCTCAATTGCATTAATTTCTGCTGTGATTTTTCACAATTTCCTTCCTTTCATGAGCTTTGGGTTTAAGTTACTCTTCTCTTTCTAGCACCTTGAGCTTCAACATTAAGTTCTTTATTTGAGCTTCCTGTTTTTTTTCATGTGGGAATTCACTGTTAAAAATTTCCCACATAGGACTACTTTCACTGTGTCCCATAAGTTCAGTTGTGTCATATCAGAATTAGCATTTAATTGTAGAAATTTTATCAGAGAGGAAAAAAAGCCTTTAATGATGTACTTTTAAATTGATATGAGGTTACATTTCACGGTATTCATATATGTATATATTCTCTTTGTACCTCAACCTACCTAATTATAGTTGTGAAACTTATCTCAAGAAAGGAAAGGTAATAGGCAGAATATGTATATACACATACATATACTAATTATATATAATAACCAGACTGGAAACAGTTATAAATAAAATAACTGCTAAACAGATGTAAATTCTGAGTGGAATTCTATCAGACAGAATTCTAATATAAAGACTGAAAGACTGTCAGGCTATGAAAATGTTTTCTGAATTTTTCCTTATATTTCAAAGTGCAAAAACAAAGCCTTCAAAGTAGAGCAGAAATTAAAAAATTGGGTCTACTTGTGTCATAATTTAGAACTCTGAAGCAGTAATTCTAAGAATTGAAAGGATCTTACTTAGACAGGAGCTAAAAGTTGATCTCAGAGAAATAGAGAATAGAATAGGGTTACCAGCACCTGAGAAGGGTTCAGGAGAAGGGGACAGAGTGAGGATGGCTACTGGGTAAAGGAGTACTAGGGAGGAATTACTTCTGATATTCTACAGCACAGTTGGATTAATATGGTTGACAACAATGAGTATTTTAAAATGTCTAGTATTTCCAACATAAGAAATGATAAATGAGATGATGTGCCATTTTCTTTGATCATTATACATTATATACACATAGTGAAATACTACATTGTATACTATAAATATATACAATTAAAAATTAAGCAAATAAATTTCAAGGGGACCTGAGACAGAGAGTTTAAGAATTGCTGTTCAAGTGTTAAATCCTGAGCACAGAGGTTATATTTGACAGATGTTTTTTGCAGGTATTAACAGGACAACAAACAAGTAAACTTCCCTTTTTTCAGTACATAGCAGCTTGTGTTGTAGTTTCAATTCAGCCTTGTGATGAACATGTATAGATTTATACTTCATTGCTAAAAACCCGAGAAAATTGGAGTATGGGCAAGGCCCTGGGCTTGATCCCTAACACTGAATGAATGAACAAACAAATATGTATGCAAGCTGAGTTAGAGGCCTTATGCAGACTGATAGCATAATTTAGGAAAAGCAGTTGACCGACTTGACTCATGAACTAGGATAACTTTATTCTTTTAAGAATTAGTGCCATTTTAAAATCCAACCTGATTTTTCACTGCAGGGCTACAACTCACAGTGATCTTATTCTGAGAGCAACAAAGCTGGGAATTCCTTATCGAGTTATTCACAATGCCTCCATAATGAATGCTGTAGGCTGCTGTGGTTTACAGGTAATGCTACAAAGGGAGTGTTTTTTTAATGGAATTAAGCAACAATATTTTCTTTTTCTACAAATTGCTAGTAGATTTTAATTGTATTTCATGAATTAAAAAACACTATTATCTGATAGTATACTATTTAATATATTTTAAATTTTTTTATATAAAGCTTTTCCTGTACCTTGGGTTTTTTCCTCTCTTTCTTGAAATAGTCCATTTAGATTTACCTTGAGAACAGTTTTAATCTTATATCCAACTTGTACATGAGCACATAAAAAGGAAAATACAGTATAAACTAATTGTATTGGGTAAGTATTCATATACCTTTTTAATGTTCTTTCAAATGATTTAATATCATTATTGAGACCCATGTTTTTCCACACAGTACTTTTCTGTAGCATAGAGAACATTATGATGCTGCATTTCATAAAAGAACCAGTGAAAGCACTAAAAACCAATGATGTTAAGCTTTTAAACCAGCCTTTCAGTTATTGATGTTGTAAAGTTATTTTTAACTCCAATAATCTTGATTCATAGAGGTTAGTTGCTCCATGACTATTTCTAAGATTTTATTCTGAGCTGCTAATACTTATTTTTTAAATTTGATGTTTGTGTTCTAATGTTCACACATGCATAAGCCATAACAGTTATTAACTCCTGCATGACCAACAGTGGTTTATGAGATTTCACTGATTGTTAAGACATTCCTATTTCAGATATGTTATAATAGTTATGATAGGAAAATAATGTGTATCTTAGAGTCTGAGAAATAAGATATTCCCAGTGTGTCTTCCTGAAATGCATAAAGATAGATCTTTATGGTCAGGCATGGTGATGCACATGTATAATCCTAACATGCAGAATGCTGAAGCAGGAGGATCACCATGAATTCAAGGCCAGCCTGGGCTACATAGAGATTTAAAGGTCATCCTGGACTACTCAGCAAGACCTGTCTCAAAACATGTGTGT